GTTATTTCACTCAATTGTTTTGCGAAGTTTTCTCAATTAATATATCGTGATTAAAATATAAAATTTCTTTTTGTTATCAAGCCCGATGATATTTATTGTCAATTGCGTAATATCGAACGCATATTACTTAATACTTAATTCATATCGAACGCATATTACATAATACTTAATTCATATTAAAAAAAAACGGACTTTGTGCGCACACCACGTCTTGCAAATGTAATAACGTTAATAATTGCAAGTCAGTAAGACAAATATTTTTATTCGGGTGCGAGTGAGCGTGAAATAGTGTCTAGTTTAAAAAATATTAAAGTAACGATTAAAATAACAAAAATTATTTTCAAAAATCAAGTAATTATTATTCACTTGTTTGTTTTTTCCCAATGACTGAATTGAAATGCAATTTCGTCAGCACGAAACTTAGCTTAACATTGATAAGGCAAATGGCAAAACAAGATTTTTTTGTTCACTTATCTCAAAATGTAATTAAAAACTTAAGAAAATTAACGAGCGCATCTTTATTTAAAAACAAATTCGCGTTTCAATACTCTCAGCGAATAATTCTTGTTTCTATCGTGAAACTCTTGCTTTCAGAATTTCGCTGACTCTTCAGTTTTCTTATCAAATATCAGAGTATTGCTACATATTATGCTATATAATTTGTTTTCCATCTGAGAAGCTAATTAAACGTTTCGATACTTTCGTATTGTGATCGTATTTGCATAATTAATACTTGCCGGTTTTTTACGGAGCAGAATTATCGCGTTTTGTAACGTCGTTACATAATCATCATTATTTGAACACGCGAAACTTTTTAACTTCGTTCGAAATGAGAAGAATTTTTACTTCAATAATTTTTACATTAAAACTCAATTCCACGCACGTTTATATAATTAGTATAATTTTCTCGAAATTATTTTTTTCTTTTTTTTTACATCAAAAGTATATCAAACTTTTTCAATTGATTTCATTTTTTTAATAAGAAAATCTATATTTTAAATTATTTATGTATGTACAATAAATTGAGGCATGTAAATAAAATCTATCACGAACAGCGAATTATAGTGACACCAAGTATCAAACTCGCATATTTTTTCAGATAGAAATTGTAGTTTCCGCTCATCTTCGTTTCGCATTCCGAGTTTATTTGATTATTGTGTGAAGCGCGAGACGATGCTAAACTCGATCTGATACTCGCGGTCCTCATTTGTTTAGCGGGCCCCTCTCCTCCTTTTCCTCCCCCCCTGCCCCCGAAATAATCAGCAATCTGTACCGTTGCGTGTTTTCTGCCAGTCGGCTTTATCGCGATCATTAATACACCCTCCGTGGAAGGCATTTATCGGCAGATAATTAATTTTGTTGCGTAACGCCGGGTTAATCGCTCATTAAAGGGGGCACCCCCTCCCCCGCCCGTCTCGCGTCGCCTTCTCCGAAAAGCGGGACGCGCGCGCATTAATTCAACAACAGATAATTTTGATCGCGCAGTAATGCCGATAATTGGATCGAGAAAACGAGCTTGTGGCGACAGGCGCGATCGGCTTTCTGCGAAAAAAGGTAAGTTAATTAAATCATTGCCGTTAACAGCCGACAGCGCCGACGCGACGACGATTCGTTCTGTATATTAGAGTTATCGGCATTTAAATGAGCCTCCGATAAAAGCGACAGAGGAATATTGATGGGTCGCGAAAACGCGCGTACCTCGTCCAATCATCGTTCGGCCTAACAATATGACAATGATATGCGCGAATAGGTGAGCGCGCGCTCGCGAGAGAGAGAGAGATATATATATATTTTTACCTTTTTTTCCACAATCCGCAAGTCAATATAAAAATTATCTCGTAACTGTTTTGGGTAAAATGTAAACTTTATGTTCTGTAATAAACCTTGACTCCTCCTAGGTCGATAGGTCTCGTGTCGTACTGATACGTATATCAGCGCTTCACGCACGTGTGACGCGTTTATGTGTTGCACACGGTATTCCCGGGTCAAAAAACGTGTGTGAGTGTGTTTATGTGTGATAAAGCGTTAAATGATATTTTCAATACATAATTAACCGCTGCTGCTGTTGCACACGTTTACATTAATATACACATGTATAATATACATATGTATATATATATATATATATACGTAATAAGATATTACGCGCGGGCTTTATATTGGCCTCAATTAAGCAGCGCGATATAACGGCCACTCTACCGTGCGCATTGCCAACAAAATTATCAATTATCGAGAGAGCATGCTTTATATATCGGAATCAAACATTAATTTATTAAAGTTGAAATGCGTGATTGCAACATTTCAAGACGAAAGACGGCTTTGCTCTCATCTTGAATAGAACGGAACCTCGTGACACATACGATATCGCGAAACGTATTTTTGTGTATTTGCTTTACGAAAATATCAAACAACAACAACGATGATATCATTCGTTTCTTTGTTCGCCGCATTTTTTAAATTGAATAACTCTTTTTTTGCAAAACTAAATAAATTTTTAAATTTTTTGTTTGTAAAACTTGACATCGCAATGTATTTAATATGTATGAGTGTTATTTCGGATTCGCATATATTTAACTGCGCGCGAAAAAAAAAAACAAATGCGTGTTTTTTGTATATCTCGCACAAAACGCGATTAGCAATCTCATCGGAAATGCACAAGACATAAACCAACTAATGACTCGTGAAATCCAAATTGCATTGCTCAAGTACGAATCTCAATGGCTATTTTAAAGTCAATTGCGCAAAGATCTTGACCCGCGATGAACTTTACGTCAGAGTCGAGCTTTTATTGAAGGCGTAAGAAAATCAGATGCAACACACGTAAAAACACGGTGAGATCTGCGGTAGAAAAAATTCAGTCAAAGGTAGAAAACACGCACGTTTCTGACACAGGGTAAAATAAAACACATTCTAAAAAATGCATATCAAATAAACAAAAATTTCGTCAAAAATTACGATAATCATTTAAATGCCTCATTTCGGTGGAAATTGTAATTTCGTCTGCGACACACACGCGGAGAAGATAATAAACAAGCGAAGTTAGTAAAAAATCTAATAAATATAACGAGGAGCAGCCGCACGATAATACGAGAGAGAGAAGATCTGACGTTATCTTCCCGGCCTTCCCTGAAATAATCAAAGCGGTCAAGTAGCGGGCAGTAATGACTGGCGACTAATTGCGCGATTAAAATTCAAACACGTACCATTTACTTCTGGAAAATATTCTAACACGGTGGATTCTTCCGTGGAGAGAGACGCGAGCTTTTCTCAGATAGAATTTAATTAAAAAAGATTGTTAAGTGCGCCGCGGAGAGTTCGAGAAGAAATATGTTTCCAACGAAAACACACTTTCGTCATTGTAAATTTATTTACACCGTGACTTCTCCGTGACGAAGATTTTATTATCTCAAATCACTCGTTAATTTTAATTAAGCCACAAAAATTACTCTGCACCGAACGTCAGAACTGTGATCTTTGGGTTAATAAATAACCGGATGATATAAGGATGTTTAACTTGTGTGTTGCGTCACACATACGCGAGAGAGTGAGAGATAAGATAGAATTAATTATAAATTTGTGTACATGTAGTGTGTTGGGTACATGATTGCGTCCGCAATCATAAGTCTTGAACGACGAAAGTTACATATTGCACTACATATAGTTATAAAAAGTGTTGGGTTTTCTAAACAACGTGTTATCTGTCGTAAACACGATTTGTTTAATTTCGTATTTTTGTACAATCTTTTTTATCATATAGTTACTAAACTTTGAATAATATTTACTGCCGCCGCACGTTGCTTTATATTTGCGCTGTTTCATAATTAATGGTATTTTTTTTTTTATTTCTTCTATATTTATGTTCTATATTTCGATTTGCTTGCAATTCTCAATGGTTTATAAATAGAATAATTTATATAGTCAGAAGAGACATGTCGCGATATTACCAGATAAACTGTACCTCTTAGCAAATTCTTCGTTTGGTCCTTCCACAGATGCCAGACGTTCGAGATGTGCTTTCGATCTGTGAATACTATTCGAGGGGAGTATGAGGAAAGGGGCAAAGGTACAATTAACTATAATGCAAAAATGTGATATATCGCGGACGACCAGTTCGCGAATGAAAAGCGGTTAGATAGGAACGGACGTACGGGCCAGCAGACGAAAAAAATTTCGAATATTTATGTCCGGTATTATTAGCGTACGTCGGGCGATATCTCGGTGGGCATCGCTAATTAGCCCGCGCGAACGACCGCGGGTCTTTCGGCAAACAGTGCTGGCTACTGTCTTTAAAGGTTTCTTCCACGAGGGCAATCAAGATGGTGGCGCCAACCACCCGGCGAGGTTGATTCCGAAACTAATTGCCACGGCTAATTTATCCCAACGACATATAACGCACAGAGACGCCATTCTCGGTTACCGCGTAATCGCGTTCGCGTAATCGCCGAGGAGAGATCCACGCGAGAGCACAAAATCTCTCACGTATAGGTGCTCAAACTTAGACGGGACTACGTATGCACTTTGGCCGGGATTTTATTTTGCTACGCCACGTTAAATTATTGTCTACAGCTGAACGAAATAGACGAGGTTTCTGTCGCACGATTATACGCGTTATGTTTCTCTTGATCGTTTTTTTTTTTTTTTGTTAATGCCATCTTTGACACAAGAGAAAGATAGCAAGATAGAAAAAACGAAACAGAGATTTAATTGCTATAATATTATTGAAATAAAACTGAGAGTGTGTTGTTAGTGTCGGAAACTCTGTGGAAGTGTAAAAATTTGCGCGCACAGAAATTCAGTGAAATCAGACCGACGTGAAAAAATGGCGCACGAACGTGTTTGTTATTTTGCAATAACAAATTTCAAGAGTGACGTGTGCGGATAGAATAAAAATATAAACAAGAATAAGAAAGGAATGCGGAGAGGAATAAATTCTGCTCGTTGCGATCATACAATTTATTAAATAAACTCGTCTAATTATTATTATTATTATTATTATTATTATATATATATTCGCTTTTACATTTATACAAAATTGGAAAAGGAATTTTTTTGCTTCAAAGATATTGAGATTTATTTGCTTTATTGTTTGCATCAAACGATGCGACTCTTATCTCACGTGTGGATTACCATAGGGATTGTATGTACAAAGCAATCAAAACGACCCGACCTATTTACAATTTTATTTACAACTTTTTTTTTTTTCAAAATAGTTTTTTCTTCTTATCGACTTTTCTTATAAGCGTTAATTTTACAACCACTGTGTGAAACCTCCGCACATTTTGTCTCTAAACAAAGAAAACAAAGTAAAGTCGATATGAGATTCTTCTCGTTACAGTCCCGCGAACTTTGAGCGCGGCAATCGGCGCGAGTTTTGAAGAAACGAAATTATTTCACGAAATTACACGAGTTTTCGAAGTTGGTTGCTCTGAATGCGTTGTGCCTCTCTTTTTTTTTTTTTTATTTCTTAAAGTCAAGTGGCTTGTATAGATTTCTTTGTAGGTGTTACTTTCATTCTCTCACTGAATGCTGAGCGATCGCAGGATGCGCCAACCCGTGATGAGAAAGCATTCCTACGGGATAAAGACCAGCGGGAGTCAAGATTCCAGGATGCGATCCGTAAAGTGCGGTGTGATGCTGCCTCACGGCAGACATTCTCATTTTCTCGATCTCCGCTTCCTGCAAACGTTTCGCTTTAGCGCGACGATTCTGAAACCAGATCTTAACCTGCAACAACAAATTTATTACGGCTTGTTTAAAAACGATGAGATTTGCAATGCGCAAAATTACATTGTGTAATATTATTTTGTGTTCGACGAAATGCTCCGCTTGTAAGATTTTAAGCATTCGATCGGAATACAACAACGTTACACAGCTCGAGGTAGGAAGATGCGAATACACAGACACACACAATAATTTTAAAGCGTTGTTTGTTTTAGAAATATTTAAAAACCATTTATATATATATATATATATTGAAATATATTTAAATATATTTAAAAAAATATATATTTGAATACATTTTGAAAAAAGTGATAATTATTATGCAGTTTAAAAAACTTGACTGTGGAATATTTAACATCAATCAATGTCTTCCGCGCGATCTTATCGCGCGATGCTGATAAATAAATACATCAGCACGGGAGATTTTTCGAGAATTTATTAATTGTAGAAAAAAATACGCGTTTTAAATAGATTGCAATTTTACGACGATATAATATAATCGCCTGTGTAATTTCGTCCGCCCCGCGCCGCAGGAATTCGCGGCTTTAGCGTTCGAGATGGTGTCGTAGTCTTTTAAAATAAACTCGGGGGGGAAAAAGATAGCTCATTAAACGTCTGAGTATATTGGGTCGTAATTTTGGCAAACGGCATTTCGATGACATCGCGATAAAAATCGCGAGAAGAGGAACCGATAAATAATCCGCGATATCGTCGACGCATCTCTGCGACTATAAACAAACCGTTACCTCGCACCGCAATTTTATCGACGTCTATCTTAATCGAATAATCGATGCCGCGTTTCGGAGCGGCGGCGGCGCGCGCGGAAATGCAGCGCGCGCGCGCGCGTTATATACACGACGATTCGGCGCTTATTATATATCGTTCGTGTTCGCGTTATAAACGCGAAATGCGTTTCGGAAATCGCTGCCAGAGAATCGGGATCTCAGCCGGAGATAATTGGCCGGTCATTGCGTGCTATCGCGGAACGTGTTTCAGGCAATTTGTAGTCTATTAATAAAATTATCGTTTTCTCGTTTCTTATTGCTCCCGGTATTATTGCCCGGGCTCGAATATAGCGCGCGCATTATTACGCGCGTTAATTACCGCGCATCTGGCAGCTACGTCTCGGACTAGCACAACTCGAGTTTTGAGAGAGAACACACGCGCGCACTGTGTGTTTCACGACTCCGAATGAACGGCGGCGGCACCGGGGGGGAAATAAAAACAAAAAAACAAAAAAAAAAAAAAGAAGTGTTGAAGGATACGAAGAGTTTCTAGATATATATACGTCGGTTTTGTGACACAGAGAGTTTCTAGACACACTGGCGGATGAGAGAGTTTCTATGGACACGATCCGCTCCGAAGTCTCATCAAGCCGCGTCGGTGCCGCAGCCGCGTCTCGAGGAAGAAAATTATGGTTCTCACAGCGCTTTCGTATCTCTGAATGCTAATGTGCTATTTTGATTGCATAAGTTAGAGCGAAGAATTTATTAATCCACGATGAAATGTTCAAAGATTCAATGTTCTTCTCGATCGGCGCGAGAGACCGGTTCCAAGAGACGAAGCGCGTCTCTTGGAAATCGAAGACGCGGCTGTGTATATTGGTGGGATAGAAGCGCCAACCAGTCAAGCGACTTTTAATAGTCCACGCGCGCTAATTAGTGCGCTTAAAACGCGCGATGCGCATTCTTCCGATCCGATCGCACGTAATTGACTTTTACCTGTGTCTCGGTGAGATGTAACGACGACGAGAATTCCGCTCTCTCGGCGACACTCAAGTACTGCCTCTCCCTGAACTTCTTCTCAAGGGCCAGTAACTGCTGGGTCGTGAAGGGCGTTCTGGGTTTACGGTTCGGCTTGTGCTTCCTCAGGTTGCACTTAATCTTCGCCGGCTCGCCGTTCTCTGTAAGCGGACAGAAAAAAAAAAAAAAAAAAAATGAACACGATCTCAGTCGAGGTCTTGTGTGCATGTCGCGCATGGGGTAACAGCGACGAAACATTATGCTCGCGTACGTACAAACTGACGGACAGATACAGTTCATCTCCTTCCCGCGAAGAAGGTGTTTCGCGGAGATATACGAGGTATATATAAGGCCGATATGTGCGCGCGCGCGCGCTTGCGCGGATGGAAAGGCCCCCGGGATGACCGCAATGTCCCGGTTTTTGTCCGACCTCGAACGGACGGAGAATAGCCCCGTCGTGGGGCAAACGCATCTTTTTAGGGTGCAATTCATAATTTTTCCGTCGGAACGGCGCCCGCAAACTGGCCTCATTACTTTTTTGCCCGGCCGACCGCAAAATTCCGGCCGCGAATTGTTTTCTACACGGCCGGTCCGCGGCTACCGCGCGCTCGCATAAGAGAGCGTCGATCGTAACGCCTGCTCTCGCACGAGGAGAGAAGAAAGACGTCGTTGGCGAGCTTGGTATTCCAGCTCCTCGCGCGCTTGAATAAAGAAAAAGACTTACGCCGCCGCGTCGGTTAATTGCGCGTTAGAGGAGAACAACTCGCGTCGGTGCGGTTGTTGTAACGCGGTTGTTGTTATTCTGTTATAAAGACCAATATGGTCATCATCGCGTCGGACTCGTGCTCGACCCGAAGGTGTACTAATTCCTTTAGTTAAGTTATACGGATATTTTATTAGCGTCAATTTGTTGAATTATCGGGTCGGACCCCCGAGACACCTTACGCGACATTTGGAAGCTGGGTACGTCGTTATTTATCTCAGTTTTCAGCACCGAAAAACACAACAATTCACGATATGTTGCGCGTGCATTTTCATTAAAAAATTACAAATCATTCGGAAGAGAAAAGAAGAGAGAGAGACAATTGTTTTCTTTTCTCTTAACTCATTTATTTTGCGATCTCGCGGTTAGAGATATTATTCCGGCGTTAGTTTTCGAACGTACGTGTGTGGCAGAACATGTAGATTATTGTACACTTGTGTCTTTGTGTCCCTCGGATCAATCGAGAACGCGTTACGAATCGTTTTACGTATATATACAACGCGCAGGAAGGAATATAACAGACAGGGAGTCCGGTATCGGAATATATCGGTTATATTCCTCGAGATTTGTCTCGAGACAATTGACAGATTTGTAGAGAGCGGAGGTGAACAGCTTCTGTACGAAGCAGCGAGGAACGCCGAGGAGATCCAGACGAGAGACAAAAGACCACATCGCCGTTGTCTTGGCAGTTGCCGTTTCTGAATTTCAAATTCGCGTTGTCAGAATCGCCCTTCACTCACCTCTTCTCTCTCTCTCTCTCTCTCTCTCAGATCTCTCTTCTCCCGTCCCGTTTCAAGATTCTCTACGCATCAACCCGGACTTACAACACGGGTATGCTCGAGCCTACTTCGGAATTGTCCTTTGTATACGTGTCTCTCACCGCTCGCTAAGGGTTCCAATTAGTCTCCGGCATCCGGTGATCTCTCCGCGCATCGCGGAGCCACCACCAAAAACGCGGGAGCCCGATTTCAATCCGGGGAACCGAACCGATCGGGGAATGTGCATTCGAAATAATTAGCTGATTTTGCGGAGATAGCGATTGTTCCGCGAATTCGAACGATAATCCTGAACCGAGTGCAACCTTGCAGGGAACGAATCGGAGCAATTGCGGGTGTCTTTTGTTGGGTGTTGCATAATAACGATCGAGAGAGAGAGAGAGAGATACCGAGATATTCTCGATACAATCGTCTCTGATTTTCTGACTGAATCGCTGAATTTCACGCTTTTCGAAAAGCAATCGTCGATTAGCATACCTCAGAGTCAGGTATGCTAAATTGACAAATAAACATCAAGCAACAATTATTTAATAAAGAACAGAAAACAGTACGACGGAAAAAAAGAGTATAACATAAAAAAAAGTATATAACAAATTGGACGTTTCAATCTCTCACAGAAAGATAAAAATTATTATTATTTTCCCACAAGAATATTGTTGCAATAATGTGAAACAAGACATAATTCTTTCAACAACAAGTGAAATTTTCGGTCAATGAGAGACGCTGAATATTTGTCGCGTATTTTGTACATATATGTTCGTGTAAATTTTTACACGAGAGTTTCGAATTGAAATTTCAATTCTTAAATAATTCTTTTAATTGTTTGAATTTGATATGTGTAGTTTTTTCTTACGTAAACAAATCTGTGATTATATGAAAGAATAGCATTTGATGAAGTAAATTACGTGAATTATTAAAAATTAATTATCAACAATCAACAAGAGAATTTGTCCATTATTTGTGATATCTCGCGCATACTTAAAGGTGAAATTGCTTGCGTTTGTTTTTACGGCACTAGATGCAGAATCACTTATTTAAGATAATCACGGTAAAAGAATGGAGGCATAAAAACTTTGAAGGAGTACCGCCGATCTGTGAAAGTATCCCTTAGAAGAGTCCATATTTCAGAATTACGGCATTTCACCCGCATGGTGTATGCGTATATTCCATACGGGATCTCGTCTAACATTTTTTTTTACGTTCGCACCCCGTAAAACCACCTCTTTCCTGGATTACATTTTATTAGTTACGTTTTAAAGTGTTTTGGGTGTTTTTTTTTTACAAAAAGTTGACGAAAAACCCATTGTTTAACATATCCACGTAATATCGTAACACGCCTGATTTTTCTATTAATTATAATATAAAAGAGAGAATCTCAAAAAACATTTGACGGTGAACGAGATAACTGATAAATAAACATTGGTAATTTATAAAACGAAAAAAATACGTAATAAAGTGCATAATTTATGAACATGAGACTCGTTAACTTTGATAGCTAAATTATTTAAAACGTTTGCAGATCGTTAAGTCAGTTCCGTAAACGTTTTACTTTCGTAACTTCAAGAATATATAAATATGCACATGAATATTATTTAGCTTATTCGAGCGACGGGGAGCGATCGTTCGCCGCAAAACCGAAGAGACCGGTAGAAAATCATTTTTTTTCTCGACAATCGTTTAAGTTGTCTCGGAGCACCGTCCTGAGATTTAATTTTCATTTTTTTTTATTAAAACATTTACGACAATCTACGCAAAAACATATTTAAATTCACTCTCTAAGTTAATTCGACCAAAAATAAAATGATGCAGATTGGTTTTTCAACGATCATCTTACGTAAATTATTTATTAGCCAATTAACAAAATCATATGTGCCGCATAGAATATGTCGTGATGTTATTTATTTTATTTTAGTCGTGTTAAATATTTCAATTAATTCTTACAATTCACGTAAAAAAATAAAACAATTGAAAAATTATCATAGATACAATTCAACCCAAAATATCAACAAAATTGTTTGAAATTTCTTTAAGTATTTCTTTAAAGTATTTGAAATTTTTCTTGTGCGCGCAATTGTAAACGATACAGATACACTTGTTTGATTGCTGTCGCGAAGCATTCTTCTCGGTTTCAGGTCTGTGTTTTCAGAATATCATCACGTTCGATATTACGTCGATAAGGAGTAAAGTTGTCCGGATTCTATATAGCAGCGTGAAATCGCTATCCGCAAACCGCGTCGCCGCAACCGCGTAATCGCTTTAGCTGCAATGAACCATGAAAAGAATTTGCCGAGAAACACAAGGGGCGATTGGCACTCCGCCAAGGATTGCTCGCGCAGACTATCGCAAACACACAGTTGTCATCGTAGTTGCCAAATAGCTTGACTCCGAGCAGTAAAATTAAACACTAAAGCGATCAAAGAGATTAATGACTGTTTGGAAGAATATCGTCATTCGGAACACGAAATAAAACTCTTTCCTCAAAATCAAGACAAGATAACTCCTCGGCGTTCACTCTTCAACACGCGCAGATATATAATTTATCAGTTCTAATGTTCCAACGCCTAAATGAAGAAGTCATGGTGTAGAATATATATTTTTTTTAATTTTTTCATAAACCTGATGCTTACCGTTCAGAGGAGCATGATGAGAGAAGTGAGACGGGAAGAACGTAGCCGTAGCCGCGGCAGCCGCGGCCGCGGCGGCGGCCGCAGCCGCGTTCTGATGTCCGCCGGCCCAGACCGGATGAAGACTCGCCGGGATCCCGGGGATACCGCCTAGGGCGGAGAAACCCCCGAGATAGGCCGGAGTTGGCCTAACCGGAGTCGGGCTTGATGTCGCATGATGCTGAAGATCCTCGACGTCCACCAGTCTGCTCTCGTCGTCGTCCGTTTCCGAACACCTCGAGTGAGCCTCACCGTGAGAACTGCTTCTGGGTGATTGCGAGCCGACGTCCTGATGATGACTTCCGACGATCTTCGGCGACGAGGAGGCTGTAACGGATTCCGGAGTGGTGGCTCTCGCGTTAACGGATGAACGCGCGTGATAATCGACGACGCTCTCAGAGGTCGTCGATCGTCTGCCTGGCGACTCGAACCCGGTTGTGTCCGGATACATAGATGAAATTCTAGAGTCGCTTTGCGGAGAGACCGAAAGTCTAGCTTCTTGGGAATTGAGACCGGGCGATAACAATGGCGTAGTAAATCTTTTGAATTCTGCACGACTTGATACAATAGAATTTATGGGTATTCGGGACTCTTGTCGTATCGGCGAGTAGGACAAGGAAACAGGAGATCTCGGCGACATTGAGGATTCCGACGTCTTTCTTGTGTCCGCTAACAAAGCTGCGACGGAGAAGCTCAATCGATGAGCCGGTTTGGAAGCACCCTGCAACGCATTGGATCCGTCGGGCGATTCCGGCGGACTGGTTGATGCAGGCGTCACCGGCGAGGTCATCGTTATTACTGTCATTCTCGGACGTCGCGACTGACACACGTTCCGCGTCAATTAACACTTCCTGAATCCACAAACCAAATGTCTCCAAAAAGACTTGTGTGAGTATTTCTGAATCTGTGAGCGAGCTCTATTTGCTCACATTTCTTCGAGAAAATTGGAGCGGCTCGGCGTAGTTTCACTTCCTCACGGACGACTTGCTGACTTGCATGATTTTTCTTTTTTTTTCGGTGTTACGGAGAGACTCTACAATTTTCGGAGTCTGAGAGTCGGTCGGAGAGAGTCAACGAGATTTTCGCCACCGAAGGCGGGCGGCTTCAAGAGAGAGAGAGAGAGACACGCACAAAAGAGAGGACGCGCACAAAGCACATCGACGTCACGCCGAGAACATTTGTCCGACGTTTGACAGCTCTCGTGGACGATGTCCGTTGGATCAAGCAGCTTCGCTAACCTTCCAGCCAAGCCGAGCTCTCCGTGTGAACTGAGTTTGACCGCTCAACCAGTAACGCCCTGATTTTTCCTTTTGCCTACGGCCGGGCGATCGTGGTGGGATCCGAGCGCCCCTCGGATGGAAGTGAGAGCGACCGTGGAAGTGGGGAATTCGAGCGACAAGAGCAAGAAGGAGAGGATCAGAAACGGGGCGAGGCTGGCCGTACCACCAACTTGGGGGCGATTCCTCGCAATGCTCCGCCCTCCGTAACCGAGTCCCCCAGGAAACATAGGCGGAATTATCTATACAGTGATTTTTGTACGCGAGGAATAAGTTTCTCTCCCCGTGCAAATGCGACGTGCTGTCACGCGGAGCGGGAGCGGCGCGCGGCAAAAGGGGTGGACGCGGGCCACGGGGAAAGGAGAGATTTAATCGCTCGCCACACTCGCGCTCTACTACGTCGGAGAGACGGTAATGAGCGCAATTGAGCAATTAGGCGGAGTGATTAAGATTGAAAAAAAAAAAAAAAAAAAAACAAACAAAATATATAAGAGAGCGCGAACGAGATAGTTTTTCAATTGTCGCGCTGCATATTTATAATGACGCTGATGAAAACGGAGAAATGACCTTTAGACCGTTTTGCTTTGCGAAGAAGGAAAGTGTTCGAAACCTCCGCTTGTGAATAAGCGCTGTTTATAATCGCGAATTAATTTATTTTTCCCCCCCCAAAAAAAAACAAATCATCAACAAATGTCAATATTAATGACGACAACGCGTACGGAGACAACTCATCGAACATAAATCATTGATTGAGAGGATGAGATCGCGATTGCGAGCGAACATACGAGACGCGAAAATATGAGTTTTGGACATTTCTTGTCGCGCTTCGGGAGATACGCGCGGCAGGTATATAGGCAGGTAGTATATATCGATCTCGCCGAGCCGAACGTCAACCCCTCTCTCGGGGTCTCGAGACTTCCCTCTCGACATTCAACCCCCTAAATCGAGCCCCGTCGCCGCGGCCTGTCGGGAGAGATTTTCGCGTCCGCGGCCGCTCGTTTGTTCTGTGACGGCACACGACGACGGAGATTCCATCGTCGCGCGCGCACACACAACCCGTCCGTCATATTTACGGGTGGCTCCGTCACGTATAACTTCGCGATAAGCAAAAACAAATGAGTCCCGATAAGGGGGTGCCGATAGAGCGCCGCAACGCGCCGAATAAAAACCTCGCGGACGTTCTTCCATTTTCGCGGAATTGGCTGGAGCCGTAAATTTCATCGCGCGGAAATCCGCGCGGCGTCTATTTTCTCCCCTCTTCCTCCCCTCTTGTCTACCCTCGCTCTTTATCGGGATCGATGTCAAGCCTTCCCAAAAAAACATATCGCGTGTCAACGCCGCGAAAATCACCTCTACATCGGGTTTTTTTTTTATTATAACGGCCATTTTATAAATTATTCTCCAGGCAAGAATGTTTGAGATTTGAGAAATCGTTTCGAGTGTGTTTCTTTTTCAAACGATATTGTATATGAAGACACTTCGAAAATTCATTCAATCGCAGACAATTTTGTTGTAGGTTTTGCACCTTATTAAGATGCGATTGAAAGATCGGACGAAACCGCTCGCGGCAGAGCTCGGATAATGCGCGGATATGCATTATCGTGTCTGACCTTATCCACGCTATTCTGAAAAATTGTTACGTTCGACGATGTAAATCGACCAGCAAGTTTTCGTACTTAAAAGTACGAAACGAGAGAAGATGCGCGCGAAGACGCAGAGATTTCGCCGGCAGTTTAACTTCTCGTTGTGCCATCTAAATCGAAGGACTTAACAACAACGCGATATTACGCTAGCTGCACTCCCGACAATCGGGAAGGGAAGAAATCCACGATGTGGCAATAAAGAGGCTCATAAACTCAAACGTAACAAAGCACTTTGCTATCTACGGTTATTCGGAGGCGTTTAATGTTTACGGACCATTGACTTTTAAATTTCGTTTCCGCGTGAATATAATCCAAGTGTCCCGTTTTCTTGCCGAGATAAATTTGCGCGCCCGCGAGATCAACGAGATCGCGTGCAATTTCGTCTCTTTTTACCGATTTTTACTTAAAAAAACACGCGTGCCCAAAACGCGAAATTAAAATTCAAAGTAACATCTGAAGTTTTTTGCGTCAAATCAAATTTTCTGTCGCGTTCTGTTTTCCTTGATTCGAAATTGTGCAATTGAGAAACGCACCCACGTTACGAAACTGCGTGTGCGCGTCACTTCCTGCGAGTCTCCGTTAAATAAATCTTCGCCATCCGCGGGATATATACGCCATTCGCAGGGGAAGCGAGTGTGTTTTCGTTCAGAGCGTACCGTGACGGAGATCGCGCGGCACCAGAGATCGTCGTTATTAAACATTGTCCTCCCAATAATTAAGGGGGACGCGAGCGAGAGATCGAGATATGCCCGTTGCCCGCGGGATAGAGAAGGACGAGCTAATTTGGATGGTTACCAAGGCAAACGATACGTTAAATAGATAGGACGGGTAAAGCGGTGGGGAACCCCGACATAATGAGGACCACCCGCTAGCACTGTAAGACCTACTCGGTACACGTACTCGGTGTATCGCGAAGTTTCGCTTTAACGTTCGTTATTTTATGCGAAAATAAACTTTTACACGTAAACCTTGGCACAATCGACGCAATCTTCTTCGACGCCAGCAACTTTTTCGAATATGAGTACGATCTCCGAAGCGTTTCGTTTAAGATTTGCTTCATCACACATATTGCTGGAAAACCGTAAAAAAAGAAAACACAAAACAATTATTAGCGCGGCAACATATACGGTACATGTGTGTAAAAAAAAAAAAAATGATACGCGTGAGATAAGCTTCGTGTTTCTCGTAAATTATAATAAAAAAATTTTGAGGAGGGTACGAACAACACTGTGAGAAATTCTCAATGAGAAGAAGACGTGATAATTCCGCGACATCTCTCGAGACACCCTGTACGTGTAAAGTGCCACGAGCCTTGGCCGTTAATTATTAGCGAGCCGCTATATTGAGCATGAAAACAGTATTTCTTTTGGGCAGAAGAGATTCAAGTCAAATTGGCGTTAAAATTGCAATCACGGTGGTCCGTCTTTCTCCGTTTCGCCCCGCTACCCGCCACAGTTTCGTTCTTCGCTTCCTCTCGTCCACGGAATTAGATCGTCTATTCTCAGAGAGAGAACGTGTGCGCGCGCGCACTTGTCGCGCGGCTTTAATAGCCGTTTAGAGGGTTAATTTCTCTTCGGGGGGCGAAACAAAAAGAAAAACAGATCTTGGTCATGGGAGTGTGCTCTTTGCGCTTTTTGTCGTCGATGTACGTCACTTGCGTCGCGATGATGTGTGTCAAATGACTTAAAACAAATACTTTAACAGAAAGAGAGATATATATATATATATATATATGTAAATGTAAAACAATTAGGAAAAAAATCGTAATTACAAAGATGTAAAAAGCTCATCGAGTATAAATATTTGATTTAAAAAAAATTAAAAATATCTGTTTACATTCGCGTTCTTTAATTAGTACCTTTATTTGTTTCTTTTTTTTTTTTAATTAAAAAAATATACGCTCAACTAAAAATTTATTCGTTCGATGGAAACACATAGCTAGTTGTTTACGCGATCGTTCTTCATAGAGATTTCAGTATCGTGTAGAAAGATCGCATCTCGTAATCCCGCGAGTTTGTTGCAGACGCGCGCGCGCGCTACCTCCACGTTTCAATTTAAGTACCTCCGGTAGCTCGATTGGGCTCTTTGAAGCATTGCGTGTCACGCAGCGAGTACCGCGCCTATATTCCGCGAACTCGGCACTCGCACGATCGTATTTGCACGGAAAGCCACGACGGACGGAACGTTGCTCGTTTGTTTCAGACTTCTGCCAGGAAGCGCGCCGTCTCACCCCCTACCTACACCACCCACGGCCTGACTCACCCTCTTTCTCTCTCTTCCCCCTTTCCGTGTGTTTTCCCCTATTTCTCTCCTCTCTCCCGATCGCACACAGTCAGACGGCAGTCGCAGCGGGGCAGTGAAAATGCGCGACCGTTTGTGTGCACGCAGAGACCGTTGTAAGCGACTTCGTTTCCCGCTTTTTGCGAGCGGTACCCGCGTACCCAATAATTGAATATTGGAGTCGCGGAATGGCGTAGAGAACGAAGAGGGCAAGAGAGAAAGAGAGCGAGGAAACGAGAACGGGAGAAAGAAACGCGCAGAGAGGAAAGCGACGGAGATACAGCGGTGGCTGCATAACACAGAGGAGACGAGAACGAGGGTGAGAAGGGGAAGGAATCACGGGGGTTGGGCACGGTCGATGTTACCGTATGGAGAGAGTGGGAGGAGAGAGAGAAAGAGAGAGAGAGAGAGAGGGAGAGAGGAGAGAGCGACACTGCAAAAGGCAAACCCGCGAGAGTCGCGGCGATGGGGGAGAAAATCGATATTTTAATTGGACAAAATAATTGGAACGAGCGAACGAATGGAAGATCGTAATCTCCGAGCTCCCCTTTGTATATTGGCGAACCTGCACGTCCCATCCAATCCTCCCTCTCCCCGATCTTCCTCTCCGAGCCTCCTGTACCATCATCCTCCCTCTGTCTCTTTCCGTCGCTCTTCCCCTCCGCGATACACCTCTTTCTTCTGTTACAGCCCCGACCGACCCTCTCTCTCTCTCTCTCTCTCCGTTCGAGCGCGGCACTCCGCACCCTCCCCGCTCGCGCGCGCTGCTCTTCCACCCTCCCCCGCTCTATCGGTATCGCGTAGATGTACGTAACGTGACATTAATGGTCACGAAAAGAGTATCGGGAGTTTAAGACTCACGTTCCTGATCGTTAACTAAAGCCATTCGCAATCACCGTTACGCGATTTAGGAAGAAGAATCGCGGGATCGCAAAAACATTTTTAATTAAACTCTCTCTGTCTCCCTGGAATATGTACAAAAAAAATTCAGAGCAATCGTTTGAGACAATTAAATGAAATTATTTTTGCCACAACCTGTAAAAATTATGATGTAATATAAATTTTTTAACTGACTATATTTTAATTAATCTCTGACGTTTACGAATTTAATTTAACGCGCAAAGTGAGTGAGCAACGTGAATTTATAA